ATGTGGCACTGTGAAGAGCCACAGGAAGGAAATGCCAGTGTTCGGTATAGCTATAGCCGTGGGTGAGTGCCAGCTGCGCAAGTGTGACAATACGCTGTCAGTGCGGTGGAAGGACAGACGCGAGGTGAATATGTTGACTACGATTCACACCGGTGCCATGTTGGACAGTGGGAAAGTCCACTTTCAGACACGCAACACCGTGTATAAGCCAGACTGTGTCATAGACTATAACGTGAACATGCGCCTCGTCGATAAGTGTGACATGATGCTTGGTGGAGTGGAGTGCGTGCGCAAGTCTGTGAAGTGGACTAAAAAGTTCTTCTTCCACCTCATGGATGTTGCAGTGCTCAACTGCTTCAATATGTACTTAGTAAAATCTGGCAGGAGACCGTCTATACGTACATTCAGTGCTGGTGTTGTGTCACAGCTGCTAGTAAAGTATGGCAAGGAGGGTTCTGTTGTACCACGCGGAGTGCAAGCCACAATGCCACATGCAGCTCCAGACAGATTGAAGGGTAATGAGAACTTCGGAGTACATATGCTCGAGTATATGCCAGGCACAGCATCACGGGAGAAGGGTAAATGTGCCTGTATAGTATGCAGGAACACTACCCGCAGAGAACAGAAACGAAGATGTATCAGCACCTGGTGCGTGGAGTGTAAGGTGCCACTCTGCCCCGTTGGCTGTTTCGCAGCATATCACACACTCGCGGAGTACTGAGTGTGTTTATGGTGTGTGTGTATATAGTGTGTGATACTGTACAGTGTGTATATAAAGTGTAAATATAAATTTATTTGGCATGATACATTGGAAATTGTGCAGGATAAGTGAACTTGTTTGCGATGCACGTAACACAGTGTCTACGGACAGTACGGATGTTGTACTGCGATATTATAGTGTACGTGTTCATTATACATTGGATTGGCACATAAAAACAATGAAAATGTATTTGGAAATGTGCGCAATAAATTGACAAAAATATATTCACGGCAACTCGCGCGCCCCGCCCCGAGCGCCCCACCGCCTCCGAGAGCTTACGCCACGGGCGCACGGGGAATGATGACGTCACACCCCAACTTCCGGACCCCATAGCAGCCAAAGTAAGTACAATTTCGATTTTTTTTTTACATACCCATACTCAGGAAAGGGTTTTTGACACTTTAAAAAGAAAAAAGAATTTTTTCCAGAGAATTTATTTCCTGCGCACTGCGGGGTGTCACATTTGGAGGCAACGCAGTTAGGGGGTTAAATACATGGATGGTGATATACTAAAGAAATTGTTCACGACTTTTGTTAGGCCAAAGCTAGAATATGCAGCGGTTGTGTGGTGCCCATATCTTAAGAAGCACATCAACAAACTGGAAAAGGTGCAAAGACATGCTACTAAGTGGCTCCCAGAACTGAAGGGAAAGAGCTACGAAGAGAGGTTAGAGGCATTAAATATGCCAAAACTGGAAGACAGAAGAAAAAGAGGTGATATGATCACTACATACAAAATAGTAACAGGAATTGATAAAATCGATAGGGAAGATTTCCTGAGACCTGGAACTTAAGAACAAGAGGTCATAGATATAAACTAGCTAAACACAGATGCCAAAGAAATATAAGAAAATTCACTTTCACAAACAGAGTGGTAGACGGTTGGAACAAGTTAGGTGAGAAGGTGGTGGAGGCCAAGACTATCAGTAGTTTCAAAGCGTTATATGACAAACAGTGCTGGGAAGACGGGACACCACGAGCGTAGCTCTCATCCTGTAACTACACTTAGGTAATTACCAGGGCTGCTGAAAAGGAGGGAACTTGCACGTGCAGCTGCACCAGGCCGACATCCCAAGGAAGGGCAGAGGCGAACATGCATCGAGGCGTTCAAACTCGCCCCCCAGGTAAACCAGAACAACCGTAAGAGCCTCTCGCCACTCAAGTGTATGCCACAACTGACAGAACGTATGCCATGTCCTTAATCCTTAAACAGCGCAAAACATACATGTATGTAGCGAGTAACTGTCACAGAATGGCGCAAATCATATATACAGTGCTTACGAGTGCCTCTACTGTCTCCACTCTATCATCCGGACTATATGGGAAGGACCCCCAGCCGGATTATCACATTTTTCGGATAATGGTACTTTTTCACCTACGAGTCCAAAAGTGACAATTTCCAACTACCTTTATACTACAAAACAACATAATTTGAATTGCCTTGCCACATATAATTATTAAATATTCAACTAGAAAACTCAACTTACCTTGATGGTGTTCGTCTTCTTGATTGATGCCACACATCTTGAAGTTAAGAATTCTTAACAATTTACGTAACCTATGCTAACACAACACTAAAATTAACACTTAAAATTACTGTACAGTTCATTAAGCAAAGTTAGTTTTGACTGCCAGCTGCTGAAGCCTCACTGGTTGAAGGCATTTGGGTTGCCTGTGAGGCCTTGCTTGTTGAAGGCGCTTCCATGCACCTCACTTGTTGAAACGCTTGCATGCCCTCACTTGTTGAAGGCGCTTGGCTTGCCTGTGATGCCTCACTTGTTAAAGGCGCTTGCTTGCGCCTCACTTGTTGAAGGCGCTTGGCTTGCCTGTGATGCCTCACTTGTTGAAACGCTTGCATGCCCTCACTTGTTGAAGGCATTTGGCTTGCTTGTGACGCCTCGCTTGTTGAAGGCACTTGCTTGCTTGCGCCTCACTTGTTGAAGGCGCTTGGCTTGCCTGTGGCGCCTCACTTGACGGCATTTGGCTGCCTGTGACGCCTCGCTTGTTGAAGGCGCTTGCTTGCTTGCGCCTCACTTGTTGAAGGCGCTTGGCTTGCCTGTGGCGCCTCACTTGACGGCATTTGGCTGCCTGTGACGCCTCACTGGTTGAACAACACATAACTTGTCTTTAATTGCTACGACAACCTTCCTCCTCTTAACACCTCCAGAACGATTGATGCTGCTACCAGACATATTCTTGGCCAAAAATGTTCAAAAGTTACTATAAAATAAAAAAGTTATTTAAAAAAATATTTCACTAATGGAGCAGCACTGTGATGCCGCACTGGTTGAGGTGTATAATAGTAACTTGTCTTTAATTTTTAGGACAACTTTCTTCCTCTTAACACCTCCAGAACGATTGATGCTGCTACCAGACATAATCTTGGCCAAAAATGTTCAAAGTTACTATGAAAATAAAAAGTTATTTAAAAAAATATTTCACTAATGGCGCAGCACTGTGTATAACAGGAGGGACGGATGCACACGGGTTGACCAGTGTTGGACAGGTCCACTTGGGGTGGGGCAGCTATAGCACGTTACGTAGGCCGCCAGGAGGAAAATAACTCACAATATTTTTGAAGGAAACTTCAGCCTGTGCACATTACTTTTAGGAAACTTATTTATTTGTTATTACATAATTACTAGTACTTATTTCAGTTATTTTTGGCTATGATTAAGTGTTCTAAAATTAATGGTAATTCCTGTACCCAAGTGGTCCCTTCCGACGCACCCCTCCCACCCTCCCAAAACCACCCACCCACCCCACCCCCTCCTCCACCATGCGTCTAGAGCCACAGACGGGATTAATACGGTATGGCCGAATATTCATCCGGCCAAACCAGCTTTTATCCGGTTCCTGTGGCCATTTTGGCCGGATATTGTGATAACTTTATCCGATCACAATTTTGGCCGTATAAGGGCATTTTCCGGATGTTTGAATCCCGGATAATCGCGGGGTTACAGTATTTACGAACTTTTCGGGTTACGAGCCCAATTTCTTCGGAAAATTCAAATCAGGTTACTCGCTTTCCCTCGGGAAATGAGTTTGTTGATATGCGTATGGCCGACCTAGTGCGTGGTGGCCCGGCAATCTTTAAAGAATTCTGATAAAGAAATAGATATAGAGGTGGTTCTAGACAGAGGGTTATCACCTAAGGACCACAACTTTGTGTGAGGAGCCTATGCTACACTTTCTAACTTCATAACGGTTTTTAAACACATGTATGGCGAAATACTAATGAAATTGTTCACGACTATTATTAGACCAAAGCTGGAATATGCAGCGGTTGTATGGTGCCCATATTTAGGAAGCACATCAACAAACTGGAAAAGATGCAAAGACATGCAACTAAATGGCTCCTAGAACTGAAAAACAAGATACTAGGAGAGGTTAGAGACATTAAATATGCCAAAACTAGAAGACAGAAGAAAAAAAGAGATATGATCACTAAGTACAAAATAATAATGGGAATCATTAAAATTGATAGGGAAGATTTCCTGAGACCTGGAACTTCATGAACAAGAGGTCATAGATTTAAAGTACTGTAACTAAACAAAGCTGCCGAAGAAATATAAGAAAATTCACTTTTCGCAAACAGAGTGGTAGACGGTTGGAACAAGTTAAGCGAGAAGGTGGTGGAGGCCAAAACTGTCAGTAATTTCAAAGTGTTATATGACAAAGAGTGCTGGGAAGATGGGGAAACCACCAGCATAGTTCTCTTCCTGTAACTACACTTAGGTTTTATTACCAGTTGACTGACAGTCGAAAGGCGGGACTAAAGAGCCAAAGCTCAACCCCACTCAAGCCTAACTAGGTGAGTACTGTACACACATATACTGCTACCAGGCCTATAGATAAGTACTATATAGACTTAAAATGCTACCAAACCTATAGATGAGTACCGAATACACTAATAATGCTACCAGACCTATGGACAAATATATACTGTATACACTTATAATGCTTCCAGCCTATGGACAAGTATTGTATACATTTACATTGTTACCAGACAATGGACAAATACAGTATACACTTATAATATTACAGGGGACTTACTTATATTACTAATATTAATATTACTACCAGTGGGGCCATACTCAGAAAACATTGCAAAACCATATGGAAGGAAGAACCACTAGGAAGATTACTTAATCAAGTAATTGCATGCTTGTTTCATAATGACCTTAAAATAATTCTAGCAAATTGTAAAGCAAGAAATACTGTATAAAGGAAAACGAACCTTCTCGTCTTTTTGACTGCTTAGCCTCGAGGATCTTGGAATATGCATAGGCATAAACATGCTTGACACACCATGACTCTAGACCAAGCTTGTGTTCCACATGGATGATAGGTGAACGATTCACTTCCCCAAGCGAAAATACTATATCGAATTCATCTCTGAAAACACAATATAATTTAATACAGGAGGAAGATTACATACAGATCGAACTTATACTAACGTGGCCTACTTTCCATGGTCCAGTTCCACCAGGATAAGGTGACAAGATGTAAAAGTGTTGCAGCAAATGGCATGATATCATTAACATGCCACAAGTGAGACTGGCATTTCAAGAGCCATAAATAGAGCTACCCTAATGAGAGCTTTGCTTGTACCCTGATGCACATTACAGTAAGTAATAAAAACAATATACAGTGGAACCTCGATTGACGAACGTCCCTCTTTAAGAATTTTTAGGGTTACGAGCTCAAGTTTCTTGATACATGTATGGGTCTACTTAGTGCGTGGCGCATTTAAGTTTATCAGTGTCTCCTGCCTAGTGACGACCGCGCTTTAATTCTTTGTGAAGAATTTCATTGTTTTTGTGCTTTTTTTGGTTTCTGAACATAAAAGTTCTTATTATATATTGCACCATGGGTCTCTGAAGTGTTTCAGAGCCCCTCATTTGTGAAAAAGAGAGGCTATTTCATAAAGATCTTATAAGGAAAACCCCTGGTATGAGTGATGTAGATATGAAAGCATTTAAGATGAGCAGGGGATGGTTTGATAAAATTAGAAAAAGAATTAGCATTCATAGTGTTGTGAGGCATGTGGAAAAACAAATGTCTATAGACAGATTTTTACTAAGATAAGCAAGCAGTGAGCCACAACCAGGTCCAAGTGGTATGCCTGCAAAACGTAGACGAGAGAGTACCCCAGAAATGGCATCACTGCCTGATGTTATAATGGAAGGGGGACTCCTGTTCCAAACACTATCACCTCTCCTCCTCCACCTCTCCTCACCGTCTTCCATACGCCAACAACAGTTCTCAATAGAGGTATGATATACTGTACAGTAGTACAAAATATGAGCAGTATTATATATAAAATGTATTATGAAGTTAATATTTATGGGAGTGTGGAACAGATTAATCCAATTTACATTATTTATTATGAGAAAATTTGTTTCTGTTTACGAATTTTCGGTTGACAAACCATCTCTGGGAACGGATTAAATTCGTAAACAAAGGTACCACTGTATATGATTATCAGACTAATAGAATAGGGGTGTAATGGTAATGACATGAAACTTTAACAATAAAAAAGAATACTGAACTGTATATTATAGAGTTAATAAAACCAGTCATTTTGTACTGAAATGGCATTTGGAAAAATTAAAGTACATGTACAGACATACAACATAAGAAAATATTTCATCCATTTAAATTAGCCACATATAAGAATAGAGCATTGAGTGCAATAAACCAGCGTTGAATGTAATCAAATGCCATTTTCTGGGTGAGACCCGGATGCTCCCTGGAGCTATTCGGGCTGATATAAATGTATTAGACCCTGACATCAGTCAAGCGAATGGAGTTCTTAGACTTACCAGGGACCACGAGCCAGAATCTGGCCCCCTTCCCCCCTCAGAGAGGCACAATGAGCAATAGCCTATTGACACCCGTGTGTGGTTGGAAGCATTCTATGTCTGCCATAACTGAGTCAGGCTCCCAGAAAAGTAGGCGCCCCAAAATAATCCCTATCTGGATAAAATATTGCTACTGAAAGACGAACTGTTGGACAAAACGCTCCAAACTAAAACCGAGCATGACATCACAACTGTCACCGCGCATCTATCTGCACAGCTCCCTCCCTTCCCAAGAGGGGAAAGGTGGAGGAGCTGTGCCCCAGACCCCGTGCTGGCTATTCACACCCCCAGTTCTGAGGCTGGATGTCAAAACTCATGAAAACTGCCGAGCCGGAGGGAGGGAGGGTTGCCGGGGAGTCTCCAGGTCTCACCCAGAAAATGGCATTTCATTACATTCAACGCTGGTTTTCTAAGGGAGGAGCCCCTTCGGCTCCCCGGAGCTACTTAACCAAAGATAAAACAAGAGGGACTTACCCGGGATGCGGTCGCCACTCGCTCCTCATCTTGAGGTTGAGACAACTGACTGCAATTTCCGACCCAATGTGACACATGCCCGACTAGGACCAGGAACACTGACTAGGTAGTGAGTGGCCCGAACCCTGATCGACCTTCAAAAACCTTATGCCCGAATGTCAGTCCAAGACATGTTACCAAAGACGGCAGCCAACGCAGCAAACTTACGAACACCATGGGCACGAGGATAGACCGCAGGCTGACTGGACCAAATAATCCTGCGGACAACCTGGGAGACCCCAAACCCTGGAATAGGTTAGAAGGAAAACCGGGTCAACTCAAAGTGCATCCCCGCATCAAACCCGAAATTGGTGCAAAACACAGTCGATCGATGTGAGTCCCTATTAATTTTTGGTTGCAAAGAAAAGGAGATAACATCTAGGACAGAAAGAGCCGTAGAAGAAGCAAAAGTAGATCAAATTGATGGTCTAGTGGAAGGTCTTACAACCAAAGAGAATGTCTGCGACTACAGGAGCGGCCAGGACCCTGTTCGACCTCCAAAAACCCTGGGCCCGAATGTCCACCCAAGGTATGTTGCCAAAAATGGCAGTCAAAGCAGCAAACTTATGAACATCGTGGACACAGGATAGACTGCAGGTTGGCTAGACCTAACCCTGCGGACAACCTGTGAGACCCGAGCCCGGGAACAGGAAAAAGGGAAACCAGATCAACCTAGAGCGCATCCCCGGCCACCGAAGCCATGGCGTTCAAATAACGGCGGAGAGCCGCAACCGGACACAACACATGATGCACCCCCGGCCTGACCAACCAAGCATCAACAACTCCACCAGCGCCACATGATATGAGGCGACAGTATTAGGCATCAGATGATGGTCCTGAAACAACCAAGAGAGAAAGGACAGAACAACCCTATCAGAGACCGAAGAACACCTACGCAGTGAGAGGAAGAAATGGAAGGACTGCCAGGAAACCTCATACTGCCTCTGAGACGAAGCACGCAGGTGGGAAACCAACAACGAAGCCACATGCGCACCATACAAGTGATGATAAACCCAAGTCAAAAACACCAGACGTGAAAACTCGAGGAGAAGACCGAATCAGCCTCGTACCGGGCAGGACCGATCTGCTGAAAGAGGGGGAGCCGCGGGAAAACCCTCGGGTTTGGACACCGAGCAAGCAGCGCCTGAAACCAAGGCTGGGCCGGCCACCAAGGAACCAAAAGGACAATCCAACCAGGTAACCCTCCAAGCGAGCCAGGACCTGGAGCAACAGCTGAACCCAAGGGAAAGAGGTACAGGTAACCATACCTCGACGCCTCGACCACGCCGACGCAAAGAGATCCACGTCCCAAGTCCCGAACGTCTGGCACAGCCAACTGTAGGAGTCGGCGTTGACCATCCATTCCGTGGAAAGGGGAAGGAACTGGGACAGGCCGTCCACCAGGATGTTGGACACCCCCCGGACGTGAACTGCCAGGCAAGCCAAACCCCGAGAACTCAGCAGACAAGTCACCCAAAGCGACCAGGCCCAAAGAACCAAGGACTGCATTGAACCCCCTTGGTTCAGGCAATGAACCACCGGGGAGCAGTCCGAATGGAGCCTGATCCTCGATCAGTGAGCGACTCGAACCCTCCGGAGCGACATCCACATTGTCGCCTCTGACCGTGCTGTGAGCCCGACGGAATGACAGACCCCACCGTCTGTGGCTGGCCTGGTGAGCACTGGTCACAAAGCCCCAGCCAAGAGACGACGCGTCCGTGAATACATAGAGCGAGGGCTCGGCAGGCGCCACGGCACTGAACCCCGAAAAACCTGAAGAGGAAGCCAGCGACGCAGCAACCAACGCAAAGCCCCCGGAGGCTGAACACAACGGTCGCGAGAGAGGCGGAAGGGACGTCCCCTTAGGAACCAGAACAGTCGACAAAGCCACACCCAACCTGACAGGTAGACCATCATGGCAAAGTTCAGGCTCCCGCACAAACACTCGAGCAACCACCACGTGACCCGGGAACCCCCCGAAAACAGATGAAGGCGGGATCGCGGGCGAAGCAGAGCCACCGGAGGCAGAGATATGGAAGCAGTGCGAGCATCCCAAACCAAACCCAGCCAAGACCGAACCTGAGAGGGAACCAGATGGAACTTCCTCCAGTTCACTAAGAACACGAACCCGGCAAGCTGGGAAAGAACCAAATCCCTGGCGAGCAGATACATGGACTGGCTGGGAGCCCAAACCAGCCAGTCGTCAAGGTAGGCCAGAACCCGAACACCTAACAGACGCAGGCGGGACACAATGACCCGAGTAAGTTGCGTGAAAACGAAAGGTGCCTGATTCAACCTGAAAGGGAGACAACGAAAGTGGTAACCTTGATGCCCCACAACAAAACCGAGCCAGTCCTTGAACCTTTGGATGAACGTATTGGCACCGGGACGTGACAATATGCATCCTTGAGGTCCAGGGACACCATCCAAGCGCCCTGCTCCAAGACAAGACGGACCTGGGATAGAGTAGTCATCCGGAAGGAGGGGCAAGAAACCCACGGGTTCAGACGGGATAAGTCCAGAATGAACCGGAGGTCCGCACAGTCTCGTTTCAGGACCGGAAACAGGCGGGAAACCCACCTGAGGGATGTCGTCGTCTCGACCACGCCCAAGCGAATCCACTCCGAGATGACCCGACAGAGCGCAGGGGAAGAGGTCTGCCCCGCCAGCCCCAAACCCTCCAAGGGAGGAGGAGGAGCCACCCAACTCCACCACAGGCCGTGCGAAACGATCCGAAAAGCCCATGAATCGTGGGACCAGCCGCGAGTAAACAGGGCGAGCCGGTCTCCCCATCGCCCCATCAATGGAACGAACTGCGAAAGGATCGACGCGCCTTGCAAAAACCCGAGCGGCTACGAGGGCGATCCCCGCGCCGACCAGCAACAGCCGGAACCGAAGGCTGCGCCTGCCCCGAATCTGGCACTAATGGCCTACCCCAACGAAAAGAACCCCGAGCCCCGGCACAACTTTTCCGGGAAGGCCCCCCACGAGCCCCCTGGATCAACAACAACTCAAGAC